GCAGGCGTTGCATTTTCTCGACACCATCGGGGGTGCGCAAGGGGTGGTCCTTCAGCGCAGACACTACACACGACTGTCGCCCAGGGCAAAGCAGGCGTGGCATTTTCTTGACACCATAGGGGGTGCGCAAGGGGTGGTCCCTCAGCGCGGCCGCTATGCACGCGTGTCGTCCAGGGCATAGCAGGCGTGGCGCTTTCTCGGCACCATAGGGGGTGCGCAGGGGGTGGTCCCTCAGCACGGCCGCTGTACACGACTGTCGTCCAGGGCATCGCAAACGTGGCACTTTCTCGACGCCGAAAGGATTGCGCAAGGGGGCGGTCCCTCAGCGCGGCCGCTATGCGCGACTGTCGTCCAGGGCATAGCAGGCGTGGCACCTTCTCGACACCATAGGGGGTGCGCAGGGGTGGTCCCTCAGCGCGGCCGCTATGAACGACGGTCGGTGCCAGGCCACAAAAAAGAAACAAAAAAAAAAAACAGAAGAAAAAAGAAAAGGCAACACACGAAAAATGAAAAAAAAAAAAGTACAAGCATAAAATAAGACGGAGATACAACAAACAAAGGAAACAAGCAAAGCAAAAAGTATGAAAACACGCAAGAAAAACACAGATGGCAAAGAAAACAGAGATACCCAATGAAACACAATAAAGAACAAAAGAACAAAACAAGAAACTGTATACAAAACAACTAGAGGAAGAAAAAAAAAAGGCAAACAGGACAACGAACAGCAAGACAGCCAACAAGAGGCATAACAAGCACCCAAAAAGAAAAAAACAGAAGGAAGAGCCAAAAAAAGCACAGTATGTCAGAAAGAAGCTCACAGGCAAGGAAGACACATACAGAACCAGGAGGCGCAGCAAAAGGCGAGGACAAACAAGCAAACGTGGCATTTTCTCGACACCGTAAGGGGGGGGGCAAGGGGTGGTCCCTCCGCGCGGCCGCTATGCACGACGGTCGTCCAGGGCATAGCAGGCGTCGCATTCTCTTGGCACCATAAGGGGTGCGCAGTGGGTGGTCCCTCAGCGCGGCCGCAACGCACGACGGTCGTCCAGGGCATAGCAAGCGTGGCATGTTCTCGGCACCATAGGGGGTGCGCAGGAGGTGGTCCCTCAGCGCGGCCGCTATACACGACGGTCGTCCAGGGCATAGCAGGCGTAGCATTTTCTCGACACCATAGGGGGTGCGCAGGCTGTGGTCCCTCACCGCGGCCGCTATGCACGACGGATCGGAAGAAAGCACAGCAGGCGTGGGCACTTTCTCGACACCATACGGGTTGGGCAGGGGGTCCACGGTGGCTAGGGTGGTCCCCTTCAGCGCGGCTCGCTCAGCGCGGCCGCTGTGTACGACGGTCGCCCAGGGCAAAGCAGCAGTGGCACTCTCTCGACACCATAGGGGGTGCGCAAGGGGTGGTCCCTCACCGCGGCCGCTATGCACGGCGGTCGTCCAGGGCATAGCAGGCGTGGCACGATAGGGGGTGCGCAGGAGGTGGTCCCTCAGCGCGGCCGCTATACACGACGGTCGTCCAGGGCATAGCAATCGTTGCACTTTCTTGACGCCATGGGGGGTGTGCAAGGGGGTGGTACCTCAGCGCGGCCGCTATACACGACGGTCGTCCAGAGCATAGCAGGCGTGGCATTTTCTTGACACCATAAGGGGTGTGAAGCAATAACAAGGTGCAAAGAGAAAAAAAAAAAAAGCAAAATATTAAAAACAAAAAAAAGTGCAGAAAGTAAGGGGGTGGTCCCTCAGCGCGACCGCTATGCACGACGGTCGTCCAGGGCATGGCAGGCGCTGCATTTTCTCGACGCCATAGGGGGTGCGGGGGGGATGTTCCCTCACCGCGGCCGCTATGCACGACGGTCGCCCATGGCATAGCAGGCGTGGTACTTTCTCGACGCCATCGGGGGTGCGCAAGGGGTGGCCCCTCACCGCGGCCGCTATGCACGACGGTCGTCCAGGGCATAGCAGGCGCTGCATTTTCTCGGCACCATAGGGGGTGCGCAGGGGGTGGTCCCTCACCGCGGCCGCTGTGCACGACGTCCCAGGCCCGGCATAGCAGGCGTGGCACTTCTCGACACCATGAGGGGTGCGCCGGGGGTGGTCCCTCACCGCGGACACTATGCACGACGGTCGTCCAGGGCATAGAAGGCGTGGCCTAGGGGGGTGCGCAGAGGGTGGTCCCTCACCGCGGCCGCTATACACGACGGTCGTCCAGGGCATAGCAGGCGTAACATTTTCTCGACACCATAGGGGGTGCGCAGGGGGTGGTCCCTCACCGCGGCCGCTATGCACGACGGTCGTCCAGGGCATAGCAGGCGTGGCACTTTCTCGTCACCATAGGGGATGCGCAGGGGGTGGTCCCTCACCGCGGCCGCTATACACGACAGTCGTCCAGGGCTCAGCAAGCGTTGCAATTTCTCGACACCATGGGGGGTGCGCGGGGGGTGGTCCCTCAGCGCGGCCGCTATGCACGACGGTCGTCCAGGGCATAGCAGGCGTGGCACTTTCTCGACACCATAGGGGGTCTGCAGGGGGTGGTCCCTCAGCGCGGCCGCTATACACGACTGTCGTCCAAGGAATAGAAGGCGCGGCACTTTCTCGACACCGTAGGGGGTGCGCAGAGGGTGGTCCCTCAGCGCGGCCGCTATACACGACGGTCGCCCAGGGCAAATCAGGCGTGGCATTTTCTCGACACCATAAGGGGGTGCGCAAGGGGTGGTCCCTTCGCGCGGCCGCTATGCACGACGGTCGTCCAGAGCATAGCAGGCGCTGCATGTTATCGACACCGTAGGGGGTGCACAGGGGGTGGTCCCTCACCGCGGGCGCTATACACGACGGTCGTCCAGGGCATAGCAGGCGTGGCACTTTCTCGACATCATACAAGGTGCGCAGGGGGTGGTCCCTCACCGCGGCCACTATGCACGACGGTCGTCCAGGGCATAGCAAGCGTGGCGCTTTCTCGACGCCAGACGGAGTGCGCAGGGGGTGGCCCCTCATCGCGGCCGCTGGCTGGCCCGAATCTGTCCTCGATGGAGGATAAATGGCCAGGGAGAGAGGAGGTTCAAGCAATATGGCGCTGGATGACATACAGGGGAACATTCGCAACGAGGGCTCAGAACGCATAATTGCGCATATACTATCAACTTAAGCAAACACATGGTATTTAAATTGAGTTTGTGGGGCTCCTCGGTCGCGTAGTGTTTTCTCTAAGATTCGTAACAGTAGTCGTAGTAGTAGAAGTAGAAGTCGTAGTAGTAGTAGTAGTAGTAGTAGTAGTAGTAGTAGCAGTAGTAGTAGTAGTAGTAGTAGTAGTAGTAGTAGCAGTAGTAGTAGTAGTAGTAGTAGTAGTAGTAGTAGTAATCGTAGTAGTAGTAGTAGTAGTAAAATTGTTGTAGTGGTGTGTGTCTTGTTGTTCTAAGTGGTAGTAATCGTATAAGTAGTAGTATTATAGTAAGTAGTAGTCTAGTATTAGTAGTAAAACAAAAAGTAGTAGTTAGAGTAGTAGTGGGTGTGGTAGTAGTATAGTAGTGATAGTGGTAGTGGTAGTAGTAGTAGTAGTAGTAGTAGTAGTAGTAGTAGTAGTAGTAGTAGTAGTAGAAGTAGAAGTAGAAGTAGAAGTAGAAGTAGAAGTAGTAGTAGTAGTAGTAGTAGTAGTAGTAGTAGTAGTAGTCGTAGCTGTAGTAGTAAGGGTAAGAGTAGTAGTACTGGTAGTAGCACTACGGCTACTGGTAGTACGAGTGGTAGTTTTTACTGTAATAGAAATGTAAAGTGTAGTAGTTGTGGTAGCAGCGGTTGTAGCATGACTAATAGTAGTTTGTAGCGTTAGTAGTGTTAGTAGCGGTAGTAGTGGTAGTCGTGGTGTAATAGTAGTGGCTATAATATTAGTGTGGGGGGCGGGCGCAGGCCAGACGTTACTTTTTGTACAAGGGGCCGAGGGCGCCCCGAGGCCACAAGCATGCTGGGCACAAAACGGGACAAAATAATGAAAGGCGGGGGAGGGGGGAGGGAAAGACTTGAGCGGGGTAAACGGCGGCGGACCACACTCGCAGGCCACAAACGCCTCTTGCAGAGCTAAATGTAGGGGCGGTTTCAGGCCAGACGTTACTTTTTGTTTGTTTGCAAGGGGCCGAGGGCGCTCCGAGGCCACAGGCATGCTGAGCACAAAACGGTACCACACATGCTAGCTTGGTATGTCTGGCCCCCGAGGCCGCCCCAAAAACAAAACAGAAATCAACGCGACGTGATCGCCTTACAGATCTTGGCGACTGCGGCTAAACGACGTGCACTGTTTAGCACGGCGTGCACACCGACGAGCTTCGGGGCCCTGCGAGCTTGGGCCCTTTGGGCCGCGTCCAGGTGAGGAAGCCCAAGAGGCCCGAGATGAAACTCACCAGATCTGTCATATCTAGCACGCGCACACGAGCAATGCGAGGAAAACTTGTGCAACCTATTCACATGCCAGCCAACGATGCGCCACTTTCGATGCACGCAGCCTTCGCACATGCAATCGTCGAACGTCGCCTCCGACGAGGCCGGCAGGAGCAGTCGTTGAACAAATGGGGGGTGCCATAGCGCACTGCTAGCAGGGTGCTCGAGGATCGTCGGCACTTTGCATTGTACACACACGAGAAGCGTTCGCAACAGGTGATGAGTATCGTCATTGGCAACGTTGACCTGAGCCTGCACACAGGGACTGAGGCGAGAGAGCCCGAGGGGCCGAGCCGACGACCTGGCGGGGGGCCTGGCGCACACCGACCACGAGGGGAGCCCAGGCCGAAACCGCGCCCCCGCGACGCAGGAGCTGCGAACCCAGCCGCGGACGACAAGGGAGACCCCAAGCGCAGCCAGGTCGCCGGTAGGGCACCGACTCGGGTCCAAAAGAACACTACCCAAGCCCCGGTGGCGACAAGCCTTGTCGATGGGATTCAAGCGCGCGCCGCGCAAAAGAAAGATGAAGCGAGGCAGGGCGTGGCAGTGAGAGACAGCGCGCGAGGAAAGCCTGCTCAACCGAAGCGCCACCTGCGGCTCAGCAGGGGGGCGTGAACCCGCTTGGGCAGCTTCGCTGCCGGCAGGTCGGGTGGCAGAGGCGGCAGCGAACGCGCTCGCGTCGTCGTCGTCGAGATGAGCTCTTCCTCGCGCCCGCCCACGGCGCTGCCCAGCGCCACCGCGCACTGCGGGGGCGCGGCGATGAGCTGCTGCATCCGAGACCGCTTGGCATAGCGGTTGAGGGAGGCGTCGGTGACCCACCCCCCGCGGCCCCTGACCTCCTTCCTCGAGCGGCGGCCCGATAGGAGATCGTCGGAGGCCCCCCCGTGCCTGAGCGCGCACAGGGTCGAGACGCCGTCCCAGATGCCGAGCCCGGCGCACGCCTCGCGGAAGACCTGGCGGATCACCGAGGGCGCGAAGCTCCACGGCGGATCCATCGGAGCGCGGTGGCGCTTCAAGCCCTGGAAGAGGGGCCACAAGCTCGCGTTGTCGATGTTGACGCTCTCGTCGGTCACGCCCGTCTTGCCAGGGCCGCCCGTCGTCGCATCGTTCACGATCATGCCCCAATGCTGATGGCCGTCGACTGACCCCGCACGCGGCTCCACCAGGCTGGCCGCCACCAGGCGATAGGCCTCGCTGGGCATGAGGTAGGTGTCGAACGCCAGCCTCACAAAGACCGCCTCCGCGAACCTCCTGTCCTGGATCAGGAGGCCCACCACGGCGAGCATCGCCGAGCGCGGCAGCGGGAGCCGCATCTGCGGCGGCACTAGGCGGCCCCAGCCCTCGAGAGCCCGCGCGGCTCTCGGCAGAGCGCGGGGGCCCGTCAGCAAGTGCGGCAATAGGTGGCGAAGGGCTGCCATCGTCATGCGCCCTGTCGCGGTGTCGAACATGCCCAGGCAGAGGTTCCCGAAGAAGACCGGCAGCAGTGCGGCCAGCCTGGCGGCAGTCTCGAACGACTGCCCCGTCCACGTGCACCACCGGTGGACGCGGGCGGCGTGAGCGTGGTAGGAGTCCTGTGCCCGCTGCGTCACCGCAGCGTTCTCGAGAAACGAGGTCTCCCCCCTCAGCAACTGCAGCAGCCCTGGGTAAAGAAGAGACCGCTGGACGTCGAGCACCTGGGCTGCACTCGGGGACCTGGTCGCCTGCTTCAGCTTCGAAGTCCTTCCACGGCCCCGCGAAGAAGCCCGTCCGCGAGGGGCCATCTGCGACGTTCCGCCCACTCGGAATCCATCGAACGATCGCGCGGATACCCGTGGTGAGACTGACTGACAGCGGCCAAGCGTCGGAGGAGATGTCGCAAGTGCTGTGAACCTGTGCGGCCCTTGCCGCAACTCAGAGCCAGAGCCAAATTGTCGACGAGAAATAGAATGCGATGCCTGCGGTTACCCGTTTCTCGAGCGACATGACGAACAGCAAAGCAGAGCGCCTCCCCCTCATACTCCAGGATGTTGAGACCCGCACGGCGATGACGACTGGAATGAATGATAACCCACTCTTCCGAATCGTACAGCACCGACGGCACCCCGACGAAATCCGAGACGGAGCCGACGCCCCCCTCCCCGAGCAGCACGTCCGACGGCAACGAGCAACCGACAGCAGCATCTTGAGCACCCTCATCACCTCCTCCACCTTCGAACGCATGGGCCCTGGCGGAAATCGCCTCCGAGACTCTATACCTCCACTTCTCTGCAACGCGGCCCGTGGACGAGAGAACGAAGGGGTCCAGTTTCTTCATGCACGCCCCCTCCCCGTACGGCGAGGCATCTGAAGCGTAGAGGGCGCCTAGCCAAGGCACGCGAGAGGACGCTCACATCAACGGCAACAGAGCGGCCACGGCTGACAGTTCCTGTCGGACTGAGGGCCATAGCTTCATGGGAGTGGGACCCGCGACTTGAATGAAACGATAAACGCCATTGAATATCGGCAGGCACTCTCTCCGCATGATCATAGCCCACGTGGCGTGACCTACTATAGAGGCCAGGGCCCCGCGCGACGCAGACCCGCGGCTCGCGAGGGCCAGGGTGGCCCGCCGCAGGCGGGCGAGGCGGTCGGGCCTCGCGCGCAGCATCCCTGTCTTGCCCGAGAACTGGATGCCCGTGCAGACGCCCTCCGTCTGGGCCTCAGTGAAGTCGTGCACGGGCAAGCCTCTAGAGGTCAGCGTCTGCGCCAGCTCCCGAGCCTTGGCGGTCGCCAAAGCGGCTGACTGGGACACCGCGCAGAAGTTGTCAACGTACCCTGCTGCCACCAGGTCGCTCCTACTGGCGAGCGGGGTGGGCGCGGCTCCATCGGCGAGATGACGGTTCGGCTGGATCCCCGCGTCGATCATACCGCGCACCAGAGCCGACTGGCAAAAGTAGAGCGCCCAGTTCCAGCCGATGGGCATCAAACGCACGACGGGCTGCAGGAGAGCGCGGCGACCCACGCTCAGGGAGCCGACGTTCTTCAGGCCCACGAAACGGTTGGAGATCGTGGGCAGTCGGAGGAAGTCCCCGCGGTCGGGCGGCACCGCCATGTGGTAGAAGGCGCACTGGATGCCCCCCTGGGCCACATAGAAGTCGCCTGACGACTCGAGGGAGGCCCGTGCCGATGGGGTAGGCAGCACGGAGTTCGGAGGAGGCTTGAAATAAGTATTCGCCACCCTCGTGTCTAAGACTAACCTCAGCTTGCCGCCGTTCTTCTCGACAAAGAAAATCCCGACGGAGTAGGGCGAAGAAGGAGGTGACGCAACAGTCCACTCGATCATGTGGCGCTGCAGCGTCGCGTTCAAAAACTCAGCATACTTCCGAGGATCGCGAAGCAGAGGGTCGACGTAGGGTTGCTGAGCGCCTAACGACACCTGCAGCTCCTCGACCTCGCCTGCGGATCTCAGCATACCCTGCCTCCAACCCTGCAACTGGACGGCGTCGGCCTGCTGCGCGACGGAGCTGACCTCGACGGGGGGTCCCGAGAGCGCAGGCCAGGCCGCGAGGGCCTTGTCGTAGGGTCTGACCCGCGAGGCGCGCTGGTAGCCTGGGGTCGTAGAGAGCACCTCTGCGAGGGATGCTTCACAAAACTGGCGTTGCTCACTGTGCCCAGGAGGCAACTCAAAACGATGGTAATGCTATTGCAGCTCTCCGACGACAGCGAGCTGCGCCTGGGAGCGGACCACATCCTCACCCGCGAGACGTCCCGCAGCAGAACGATCATGGAGCCAGTTGAGTGCATCGATACCCTCGTTGCACCACCGGCGCCAAGCCGCACCGCGAGCTGCGCGCTGGCGAGGGCGCCGACCGTTAACGGCGTGAAGACGGTCGCCCACGTCGAGGGGCGGCAGCGGCAGAGCATCCCGCTGGCGAAGGCGGGGGGCCTGTGGCAGGCCCAACCCAGGGGGTGGCCCGAGGGGCCAGGGGCTCGGCGAGCTGGGCAGCCCTGGGGCTGGCCCCCCCCAGCTCGCGTCCTCAGGGAGCGTCATGGCGCCCGCAAGGCGCGCTCCTCACGCGCCTTGCGTCGTTCCTTCGATACCGCCGCCTCGTCCCTCATCTGCTCTGCGATAAACTGCATCAGCGCGGGGCAGATGCACAAGTTACCCTTCGTCTCTCCGATCCCCAGGAAGTGGCCGACCTCCGTGGACAGAGCGTCCTGGGGCGTGGAGTCCTTCTTGCCCTGCCCCTTAAGCGCGGCGGCGGCCTTGCGAGTCTTCTCGTCGTAGACCCTCTCCTCGATCAGCTGCAGCTGCCGAGCAAGATACTCGAAGCTGGCCAGCTCGGTGATGACGAGCTGGTCGTGCACCATCGACGTCTCCAGGATGCGGCAGATGGTCTCGTGCTGCTTCGCCGCCTCGTCGCCTTCGGCCAGGCCCATGACGGCGTGCCACCGCGTGTGCCACGCGACGGCACCTCCAGCCATCCGAAGCATGAACTGGAGGACCCAGAGCAACGTCCGAGGCCCAAGCGCGGGCCAGTCCTCGCGCTCGCACTCAGTCTGCTCCTTGAGCGCGTCGCCGAAGGAGCGGTCGCGGCGACCCCGCGAGCCCCTCGCCGCCGCGAGGACGCGGAAGTCGTTGCTCGGGTGCTCTCCCGCAGGAGGCGCGGCCGTGCCTCCAGCGTGAGCACCGGGAGGGGCGCCAGGCCTGAGCGCCGCGGCCAGCGCATCCCCCAAGGGGTCGGGAGGCGCGAGAGGCGCGGAGGCGGCCCCCAACGCGGGCGGCGCCGCGGCCACCAGCGGCCCCGCCGCGGCAGGCACGGGGGCCGCGAGCGGGTCGCGCAGAAAGAGCGGCCCAGGCGCCATCCCGATCACATTCCCCTCGCCGAGCTCCAGCGCGAAGTCCTCGTGCGGGAGCGCCGCAGCACCGCCTGCCGCCGCCTCGCGCAGCGCGCCCCACACCTGCACCGCCGCGGGGGGCCGCTTGAAGCGGTACGCGCTCGCCGCCTCGATCCCGTCGACCGCGGCGCCCTGCCCGCTGAGCGGCTTGATGCCCCTGGCGTCCCTGGAGAGCACATGGAAATCGTGGCAGACGTCGCCATCAGGGGTCTTGATGAGAGCCCCCTGGATGACGAGCCGTTCGTGCCAGATCTCTCGACCAGGCACATTGAACCGAACAAGGTAGAAGCTGCCAGCCGCCATCGGCATCGCGTCAGCGAGATGCTAATGCTCTCCGCCGAGCCTGACGGGCCTGCTCAGCCGCCGCCTTCTCGAAGTCGGTCTCCCCGTGGAAGGAGCCCTCCTCCTGCGCACTCGTGAGTGCTGAAGGCGCTGACGGCCTCCTCCCGCGACGAACCTCGCGGGGGACGAAGACAGCGGAGACCAGGAACCCCGCCCCGAAGCCGCGCACGAAGCCGAGACCCCAGCACCACGAAGAGGCGGACGAGACAGGCGCCGCCGTCAGGAGCCCCTCCCCAGCAGGGCAGGAGCAGGCGAGGGGCGGGCAGTTCAGCGTCGGCTTGCAGATGCACGCGGGACAGGGATCGGCCGCAGCACGGACTCTCACTGCTGTCTGAAGGGAGCGAACGAAGTCGGGCACCGCCTCGACGAGAAACGCTTGCATCCCCTGAAAGACTTGAGCGAGGTAAACGGCGGCGGATCACACTCGCAGACCACAAACGCCTCTTGCAAAGCTAAACTGTGGTGGTCGTTGTTCTTGCTGTATGACTCGTAGCTGTTGTACTAGTAGTAGTTGTAGCAGTAGTCGGTGCTGCCATAATGACAGATGCGGTTGCTGTAGTACTCTGGATCCCTTAATAATCGACCCCCCCTAAAAAACCGGACCCCCCCTTCCTTCGCGACAATTTTCCGGACCCCCTCCCGCAGAGGGCGCCTTAATATTCCGGACCCCCCCCCCCAGCAAAATTGCGAGTGCGACGACGACGACGACGACGACGACGACGATACGAGAACTACGACTCCGACTACGACGACGACGACGACGACGACGACGACGACGACGACCACGACAACGACAATGACAACGACGACGACGACGACAACGGCACCCCTGCTGCTGCTGCTCCTCCTCCGCCTCCCCCCTTCCCCCTCCATCGAATCACTCTGTCCCCGTCCTCCCTCCTCGCCCCCGGCTCATCCGCAACGTTTCGGGATCCGCCACTAGGAGGTGCAGAAAGCCACCCGCGGGTGGACAGTCATCATATTCACACGCGGGGGAGGGGACGCAAGGGCTGGCGAGACCTGGCACAACTCTAAAGGGGCAGCTTTCCGCACGAAGAAAGCGGCCTTGAAGGCGGGCTTCAAGGAGAACTGAGGGGCACTTAAGTGCGCAAGATGATGTTCGCGCTTGGGGTGCGACGAGGAAACCATCACCGAGATAGTCGTCATCGCCATCAGAAGTGCCATCATTGCCACCGCCGCATCATATCGTGATGATGGTGATAACGACGATGATGAGGATGATGACGATGATGTTGAACATGTTGTTGATGATGATGTTGATGATGATGTTGGTGATGATGAACATGATGATGACGATGACGATGACGATGACGATGACGACGATGATGATGCTGATGATGCTGATGATGATGATGATGATGAGGATGATGAGGATGATGATGGTTAGTACTCCGTGGGCTAGTACCCGAAAGGCGCCCTAATAAACCGGACCCCCCCTGAACGTCGGCTTCAAGAAACGCCTTAATAAACCGGACCCCCCTGCTTCCCCAAAAGGCGCCTTAATAAACCGGACCCGGGGGACGATTATTAAGGGATCCGGAGTAGGTGTCGTCGTTTCTGTTGTTGGCGTAGTAGCAGTGGTGATAGTAGTAGTGCTAGTAGCCGTAGGAGTGGTAGCTGTAGCAGTCGCACTAGCAATCATAATAATAGCGGTAGCAGTAATAGTAGCGGTTCGTTGTTGGAGCTTCTGCCCAGGCAGCGACTCGGCGGCAGATCAATTATCTTCTGAAGGTTCACCGGCTCCCGCCGCTCAGCGTTCCAGCGCTCAAGGTGCCATTCTTGCTTCAGGGCCGCCTCGCAATGATCAGGCGTTTCGTGGAAGAGGCTATCCTGCAGATTCGTACGGAACCTGCCAGGGCGTGGCTCCGGCGCAACGCGCGCTTCGTCGTAGCCAGGCAGCCGCTCTGGATCAACAAATTCTGGGTCAAACACGTGTTGAGCACTTCCTCAGGGAAGGATTTCCGTGGGGTTGATCATGCCGATCTCGCGCGGTGGGCAAAGGCACCTGGGTTCCGACCCTGGGGGATTGGAGACTTCCCCAGTGGCAGTCGGCAGGAGCACTTCGGAGGTGCTTCGCCCGCAGCTGGAATTATAGGTGCCACGCCGTTCGACTTCACCCCCGCGTGTTTCAGCATGGCCAGCGGATGCTTTACAGATGTTCCCAGCACTTGGTGCCGCCTAAGGTGCCAGAGCCTTGGAGCAACATGGAAGCACCCATGCTCGCAGCCGCGCGGAGTGGTGACGCAATCGAGGTGAATGACCAGGACTCCTCGAAAGCATGGCTGGTACTGCCCAGGGAAGCCTTTCTCAAGCTGCTCTAAGATGCTATAGACGACGATTCGTGGACGGTCCGCTCGGACTTTGGCGTGTCAGGCGTTCGCGTGTTCATGTATGCTCGGTCGTTGTTCGGAATACTTGCCTGGCTTCAACGAGGGCCAGTACCAGAGCTGGCCGCCCCCACCTTGTTCCCGCTCGTCAAGAGCAAGTGCTACTCAGACTCTGGCCAGCGAGTCTGCGAGAAACCTGGGCACTCGCGCTGGAGGCGCATCCTGGACATCTCAAGGATGCCACATGCGTATGGCTGGCGGGTGATCGGCTGGGCTGTGCGAGGTCTTCTCGAAGCTACTGGAGCTTCCCACAAGCTGTTCAACAGATCGCATGCCCGAGGCCGATTGGACAGGCTCGTTGGTGATCTAATTTCTTCGCCGTCACCACGTTGCATGCGCTGCGGGTGCCCCATGGACGGCTGTCTGGCCGCCGCGACGGTAGACATAGACCAGGCGTTCGAGGCGTACTCTGGTACCCGAGTTGTGGCTGCGTGGTGTGGGCACGTTAAGCGGGCACAGGCGTCTCTGGGTTCGGCAGATGTTCTGGTCCGCCGCGGCCGTGCGCCACAAGTCGTGGCCCCTGCTGCCACGTGGCGCTGGGGATGGTTTTTCGCGTCGGCCGACGTGGTGGCCCGGGCGCTGGTGGCCACGACTTTGCTCAAGGCGGTCGTTCTCGGCACAGTTGTCTTGGAACCTTTCCAGCCTCGCCATCGGGGGGCTCATGTCGTCCGCTGCGTTTGCCATCCTGCTAGGTGACGAAGAAGCAACTTTCGAGGGCAACTGCGATTTGCACTCGCTGCACGGCTTCGTACACACTGGCTTCACACTGCTTGAGATCATTGGATGGGCCGGTTATGTCGATGACATCGTCTTCTCGTGGTGATATTGCTCTTCAGGCCTGGTGGCCTTCATTCGCCTGGCGTTCCCAGCGAAGCTGTCCGTGGTCACTGAGTCAATGACCTTGCCCAGGGGTGCCGCCTTCGAATGGATAGACCTGGAATGCGGATCGTTCATGACCACGTCCATATACTTCTGAAGAACCCCAACCGCAGCTGGCTCACCGACCGCGCTCAGGCGATCAGGCGCGTGGGAGGGCTGGGACACCTCCGTGGCCCGGCCGGCTCTCGACAGGCTTCTCCGAACTCCGCGGTTTGGTGGTATGCCCGCTGGCTCGGGCGTGTGCCTTTAAATTGCCATCAGATCAGTGCGCTGTCGCGGTGCTCGAGGAGGTCCTGGAGTTGTTCTACTTGGGATACCCTCTGTCCTGTGCTGCGGTCCCTTGTGCACAGCCTTCCATGCATGCCTTCCGATCCAGGCATGATGGCAGCCTGACCCAACAAAAAAGCACCATAAGCATACATTGCCGCTCTCACCAGATGAGGAGGAGAGGAGGAGGAGGAGGAGGAGGAGACGTGCGGCGCTGCGGATTCAAAGCGAGGACCCAACACACACGAGGAGTGGGAAAAAAACAAATCGTGCTTTCTTCACGGCGCGCCGACTGGGCCCGTCCTCCCCAGAGCAACCAGGGAGAAACGAGGCGGCCGCGGCCTTCATCGACCAAGAGCTTCTTGAGACGCCTCGTGCGGGGAGCGCGCACCGGGGCGACATGATTTCTGCGGCGCTGGTTCCGATGTCCAACGGGCGCGGAAGCCACGCAACGCTGCCGAATCCCTAGAAAAGCATCGGAGGGAGCCAACTATCCACCACCTCGCTGCCTGTTCAGATGAATTGCAAGGATGGGGGGAGAAGGAGCAGACAAAACACACACACACACATTACATCGCGGTGACGCGATTCTGGGGGCTCCGCCGACGCATGTACAATGTGCAGCCGTGCGTGGCAACGTCGCGGGGAGGAGGAGCGAAGGAGGAGGGAGGGGAGGCATATCCACCTCGTTGGTCCTGGCCCGGTCGATCCTGGGCCCAGGATCGTTGCAAAGGCTTCCCTGGCCAAGCCAGGCGGGCGTATACACTCTCCCTGGGCCCAGGATGGGCCTGGCCAGAACCAGCGCAGGTGCTTGTGGCGCCCCCCGAGAAATCACCCCCTTCGCTGGCTGACTGTTCCTCCTCCTCCTCCTCCTCCTCCTCCTCCTCCTCCTCCTCCTCCTCCTCCTTCCTTCCCCCCCCCTCTTTCCGCCTCCTCCTCCTCCTTTTCCTCTTCCTCCTCCTCCCTTCCCGCTCCCTTTCCGCCGCCTCCTCCTCCGCCTCCTCCTCCTCCTCTTCCTCTTCCTCTTCCTCCTCCTCCTCTTGCTCCTTCTTCTCCTCCTCCTCCTCCTCCTCCTCCTTCTCCTCCACTTCCTCCCCCACCTCCCCCTCCACCACTGGATGTCTCGGGCAAGCTCTGGACAGCATCCGAAACACATCGAAAGCCTCAGGAAACATACTGGAACCCGCAAATACCGCCCGACATACACGCAGTGTCCCGAAGCCAATGATATACATGCATGCATACATACATACATACATACATACATACATGCAAACATGCATACATACATACATAGTCACATCCATACATACATGCATGCATGCATGCATACATACATACACACATACATACGTACATACTATACTATACGATACTATACTATACTATACTATGCTATACATACATGCATAC